ACACTCTGTCTGCAGTCATACAGGACACTGACACCCCTGTACCCCACAAAGAACACTGACATCCTCGTACCCCACACTCTGTCTGCGGTCACACAGAACACTGACACCCCCTGTACCCCACACTCTGTCTGCGGTCACACAGGACACTTAAACCCCTGTACCCCACACAGGACACTGACACCCCTGTACCCCACACTCTGTCTGCAGTCATAAAGGACACTGACACCCCTGTACCCCACACAGGACACTGACACCCCTGGCTCAGATCTGGAGGTCTATTTTAGGAATATTGTTACATAAAAACAGAATTCATGATAGTGAAGTGAAAAATCTTGAACTTCAGTCAAAATGTTGCACTTAAAATTATGTCCATAAAATGAGAATATCATGCATAGCTATAGCATACCCTGAACCTCAGTCATTGGATGACCTTTTGAGTTTTTCCAGCTGTAGTGCACTATCAGCCTTTCCACACTGAACCATTTCAGCCCATTCTTTTACCCCCAACACTAAATACAGCAGCCCTCAGACAGAATGCATAAATGACTCATGTTATGCCCATTGGCCCCATTTTTGCAAAAACTATTAAAGATTTATTGCAGAAAAATAGAGTAGAAATAAAGCATGCACTGGCAAGCTGGTCTTCAGCATCTTGGTCCACATTTTGGTATTGCTTTTAGCTATTTGGGCTTCAAACAACTAAAAAGGGCTGTCTTAAATAGTACAGTACCAAACTATTTTACTGTATAACTAGTCATCCCCTTTGCTATTGCAAACCTAAATTGATTCAAGTGCACGTATTACTGTGATTAGTCACACTGTTCTGTCTTATCAGTTTTGAGTGCACTGTTCTACAGTGCCTCCATGTGGCTTTTTTGTGCAACTTTCCTAAAATGCTCTTCAGCAGTTAAATCTTTAATTTCTATTGGTTTAGAGACCGCACATGCTTAAAGGTTAAAGGGCATCTTCCATTTTGTTCACATTCATTTTCAATATTGTTGGAGTTTTAAGCCTTACCTCATTGAATCTACAACTTTGTCGCTCTTGCAAGCATTGTAAGTAACTATTTATCATCTTTAGTATATGTACCACAGTTCAGACAACGAATTTGTTATCGATGTACAGTAGTTTTTTTAGCTAGAGATGTTTCAATGCTCCAGTTGCCTGGGAGCTGTAAACAAGCAGCGTATAAGCTGTGTGCTCCAGTACTATTTACTGTTTAACAGTATGACAGTTACAGCTCTGTTATTAGTCAGTTATGTAGTGCAAAGTCCGCATCCTGCATGTATTTGAAAAATCATCTAAATAAATATTTTATATACATAAATTTTATTTGTACTGTATTACTGTACTACTGGATTTATTGTAATTGTTAGTGATCTTTTTCTTAGTTTAATACCGTTGCGTGATGTGTCGCTTAATAAACATCATACGATAAGGTGTTGATCCTGCGTCATGTGTGCTAGTGAGAACTATTTTTATTTGTCAATTTGTGCAGCTTTACACACAAGGAGGATGGAGTAAATGCAATTGGTTGTGGCCTCTGTGTGTAATAATAGTGGTTCACGTGTTCTCAGAATAAACACACCAGTCTGTAAGATTATTTAGTCATGTAATGAATTTCAAGAAAAGATTAAACCATGAAGACCAAAGAGCTTTCAAAACAACTCAGGGATAAGGTCGTAGAACGGCACAGATCAGGAGGAAGGTATAAATAAAAACCAGTAAAATCGGTCATTAAGAAGTGGAAGGTATATCGTACCACACAGACACTGCCTAGATCAGGCTGTCCCTCCAAACTGAGCAGCTGGGCAAGGGGCTACAGAGTTTAATGGCTGAGATAGTAAAGAATGTCCATGAGTCATCAATATTCCTGTCCCTCAACAAAGCTGGCTTGTATGGCAAATTGGTAATCCCACCTCAAATACCCAGTGGAGTTTGCAAAAAAAAAATCACTGAAATGATATTGTAAACATCTGGCAAAAGGTTTTGTGATCATAAGAGACAAATATGGAACTTTTTGGTCTAAATGCAAAGAGTGACATCTGCAGCAAACCCTGCACAGTGCATTACACAGTCAGCACTGTTGCTACTGCCAAGCATAGTGGTGGCAGCATTATGTTATAGATCAGCTACTTATCAGCAGAGACTGGGGAGCTTGTTAAGACTGAGGGAGATACAGCTGGAACAAAGTACAGATTAATTTTAAAGGAAAACCTGCTTCATTGTATTATAGATCTAAATCTGGGATTACATTTCATGAAAAATTTAAGAACACGTTTTGAAAGAATGGGTGAAAATTGCACATTCCTGATGTGCAAAGTTTTGTAGTAACTTACCTGTCTGTACCTGGTAGTTTACAGCAAAGTAAGCCATTACACAAAATAGGAATTTTACAGTATAAGCCTTTCTCAAAATGTCATTTTTTCCCTTTACTTTAATCTATACTTTATCAGTATTTTGCCACATTAGAAGAGCATAGAACACTTAAACAGAACATTAAACCTTTAACTAGCCTCATAAATGTCCCCTTTATCCAAATTCAATTAATGCATGCTAATGGGCTTTTTAAAAGTATTACAAAGCAGTTGCTAAATAGAGGCAACACTAGACATATCCACAACTTTGAGTGTGATGGATCAGTTAAAGTGTTTGCTGTCTGAATAGCATTATTTCATTAAAGGGTCACAAGTATATGCCTGATTAGAAAGCATCTTTTTCCAAGTGGTTACAGAGCAGCTGATAAATTAAATGCCTGTCCACCCATTATCAGAAAGCTGCTTATTTCTGGTAAGAATGACAACAACCTGGAGCTTTCCCCAAAAACACAGTGCGGAAGAGATGGGACCAGTCCATTGAAGCATGCACACACAGGAACAATTCAGAGATGCTAGTTAACCTACTATGGGGAGTATATCTTTGGAATGTAGGATGATACCAGAGCAGCTGGAGAGTTCATGGAGTTGGGGCTGGAGAGCATCCAAACTTCACAAAAAAGGTATCCCAGTCCAGCATCAAACCCAAAACATGCAAGACCACAGTATTAAACACCACACCACCATGTGACCCCATCCATTAAATTTTATATTTAATATGTTATTAAATATTACATTTTGAATAATATTTTAATTCAAATTGCTTATTTTCAGTATTTAATATTTATAAATATGTTTAATTTTGTCACCATAACCATTATAGGCAATAATATTTTAAGTTAAGACATTTATGGGATGTTCTATATTTTTTGTTCTATACTATTTTGTTCTGTTTTACCACTAGTACCCATAATATATTTGATTCTTTATTCTAATACTATTTAATATATCTTCCCGCAGCTTGAGAAATGTTGTTGTTTTCTTTCTTGGTCAACACGGGTAAAATATTTTCACCCACTTTACTATGGCAAACCTAAATTAATTCAGGTGCATAAATTACATCACTAAGTTAAACTGTTCTGCCTTCACAGTTTTGTGTTGTTTCCTGTGCTCTGTGGCAGAGACACTGGGGTGGCATGGGGTGGCATAGGGTGGCAGCTGAAAGAATGTCAAGGCAAAGAATGTCTTGCCACCCCAGTTTTACAGTCTTATACTGATATGAAATATTTATAGTATTACCAATTCTTAATACCAATTATAATTTTTACATTTTTCCGATGGCACTTTGATTTTAAACCACCATAACATCTCATTTAAAACTCAGCCCCCCCCCCAAGCAAAAAAAATGGTTGCACCCACTACTCTTCCCCTCCTCCCATCCTGCGTGTCACATCTTGAACACAGAGCGGGCTGTGGGTTTTTTTCAATAACCCCCTACAAAAAGAAAAAAATCCACGAGCGGGACTCGGAGACGTGCAGACAGAGCATCGAAGACGAGTCATCTTGTCCGTGCTGATACGGTTGAATTAAGGTATGCTTACAAAAATGATAAATACATCGAACAAGTTTTATTAACCTTACATTTCTAGTCAATGAAGTTACCACTTCCTATACTGTCTAGTGTTGTCAGTGAGTGTTGGCTAACTTTGTGCGGCTTGTCAACATTGGCTAGCAGCTAATGCTAGGTGTGACTCACAGTTTAAATTGGAGGTGTAGTTCAATTGAACTTATATTACCATGATTCTAGAGGTTTGTACATTTCAGAATAATTATAAAATAAACAAGATAGCACACACGCTTTTAAAAAACATTAATTAAATTAAAGTTAAAATTGGGGCTACGATTTACCTCACTGTCTAGCTTCAGAATTCTATGATATTAATGTTGATGCTCTGAGGAGTGCTGAGGTAGATGCCATGAAGGCCCAGTAAGACCGCTTCAGAGAACATGTTAGTGCTGTGAAGATTAAAGATTTCTCCAAGCCCATAGTTTCTCACTTCAAATCTGATGGCCATGATCACACTGATCTCTCCGTCTGCCTTCTCAAAGAAGGGTTTCTTAACTCCTATAGCAGAAAAACATCTGAAACTAAAATTATCCTGAAACTTGGTCCACAACCTCTCTCTTCTCTCAACGACAAACTTGTTTTCTTCTAACCCTTCTATTGATTTGCAGGTTTCACTTCACACCTGTCTTACCCTCTCTCGACTTCATACCACTCTGCCTCCCCCCTTCTCCCACCTCCTCCCCTCCCCCATCTTTTGTTCTCCTATGCTTTATAACCTTTGCTGTCTGCCCTGTCTTTTTCACACCCAAAAGAGGCTCCACAACCAAAACGTTGCGTTTCCTTTCTTCTCTTTTCAGCCTGAAATTACTTGTTCCTTTGAAGCTAGGCCTGAGTCACTTTAAATCTTGCAGCAGTTTCAGGAGTTAGGCTAGCCTTGTCCAGTGAAGAAAATGCAGAGGTAGGACGATATAAGGAGTTCTTTGTCAAAGAGACCACTAACTAGTAGCAATGAGCAGAAAGGGACATCAGTAGTACAATTGCAGGATATAGAAAGAGAGAAAGAAAGGGATGAAGAGATGGAAGAAATATCTCTGAGAATCAGATAAAGAGTAACAGGGAGAAGAAGAGAGTATTAACAAAGAGCGCACAGACAATCTGAGAACAACGAGTCACAGGAAGA